CATCGAGCAATGTTTATATGGTCAGAGGAGTGTGGGGGGGGGGAGGGGGGAAGGGGGGAGAATGATTCGAAATAGTATAGTTTGAAGAGATGTGTCTTGAGAGCAGCTTTGAAGGCTTGGATGGTCAGTATATTGCGAATGTGTAATCGGAGAGAATTCAATTGTTTGGGGACGCAGAAATTGATCGTTCACCGTATGTTTTCGAGTGTGTCGTGGGAAGAGAAATAAAACGCGTGGCTGTGGAGGAACGAAGCTGTCGAAAGAGTGAATTAAGAAGTTCAGTAAGATAGGAAGGGCAGGAACCAGAGAAAAAGTTGTGACAGACAACAGACAGCTTGTAGTCAATGCGTGCCGGTAAAGGGAGCTAATGAAGTGAGCGAAGTAGTGGATTGACGTGATCACGTTTCTGTGCCTTTAGAACTAACCTAGCAGCTGACTGTTGAACTTTTTGCAGTTTTTCTAGGAGGTGTTTTGGTGAACCTGACAGAAGATAGCCGCAATGGTCAAGACGAGAGAGAACAAGAGCACAGACATTAAAGAAAAAAATCCCACTGGAGTCAGAATGGCTAATCTAGAGTTAAATGATTTCACTACAGAACCTAAGGATGACTTTAAAAAATGCTACGTGCCGTCTAAAATGAATGGTTTGCAAAATGTATTCTATGTGATAGTAATTCACTAAGTTTAATCGGGTGCTCTGCTTTTGATAGCTGTCTTGATGCAACGAACTGCTTTGGCATCATAATAATAATAATAAAGTTTATTTAAAAAAACACGCTTCATCCCCAAAGGCTCGAAGCGCGGTACAAAAGTAAAAAAAAACAACAACAAAAAAACAACAACAAATCTATAATTTACCACATTTAAAACAAACGCATCAAAAACAATTCTTTCTTGTCATCCTCCGCCAAGGGGTGTACAGTTTTGATATCGTTTAGCAATCTAATTCCAAATTGCCTAAATTTGTGTAAAAAACTGTCTGCAAAGTCACAGAGGCAGTGGCGTATCTAGGGTAAGTGTCACCTGGGGCGGGGACCAAGATTTTTGCACCCCCTTCCATGAAGAAAAAAAAAAGAACCTCTGCAATTGGCCAAAAATGCCACCCTCTGTATAAAGAACAATGTGCCGCCCCCCCCCCGGGCGGATCTCCCCCCCCCCCTCACACTCTACTGCCCATAGACTATTTTCAGAATGCTACACCGATGCCTTTACTCATTTATTTTCTAATGTTCATGGAAATAGGGATACCATGATCTTTTACAGAGAAAAGCATATAGTTGGGATTATAGTTCATGATACATCATTGGCCTTGTATGCTACACTATTTTGATAATGCCAGCAAAATGATGAATGAATAACTATTACTGAGTAGGCCTGGATGTGCTAACTGTTCCCTTTTTTTCTCTTACTCCATCCACATTGATCGCCCATGTGTCGAGGGGAGAGTTAATGAAATGCTTAGTGGTATTTAGTCCGGCACTTTCAGGTAGACACTACCACTGTAAGAACACATTCCCCTGTAGTAGTCATACGTTGAATTTTTAAATAGAATTAATATTAGATATAAATAAAATATATAACAGTGTACTAAAACAATTTTTTTAGGGGAGGATTGCATGCGTCCTATACATTTGATTGGCCTAGGGCTCTTCTTCTTCTTCTATATTTTGAGGGCCCACGATCAATGGATTGATCATTCTGGCTCCTATGTTTCGGAGGGGTTCGCGATGTTGCCGTGCATTGTTTTCAAGGGAATACTTCACTGATTGCAAGGGCTATATGAAATTGGTTTGGAAGAAAGGAGGCAAAAGCTTCAAATGTGTCAAGTGCAGTGGCCGCAACTGTTGCTTTTGGAAGCTTGTTCCAGTCCCTTATTGTCTTTGGCAGGAATGAGGAGCTCCTGTCCTGAGTTTTTGTTTTTGTTAGCCGAAACTGCCTATCGTGGCCTCGTCGCTGTCTAGGGGGGAGATGGACGAGTTTCTGTTTGATGCTGGAGCAGTGGACCAGCCCATTTTTGATCTTGTACAGCATGGTGAGCCTGGATAATCATTGTCGTTCTTTCAATGGTGACCAGCCCATGCAGTGTTTCTAGCATGCTGCCAGCACTTGAGTTGTTTCTGTAGCGGTTAACTACAAAGCGTGCTGCCCGTCGCTGGACCTGTCGACGCTTTTCTGGATAAATGGGTCCCAGACTGTATATGCATACTTTAAATCTAAAAACGGCCGGACAAAGGCTTTATAGGCTTTTTCTTTCACGCTTGAGTTGCCGATCTTCAGATTTCGCCTTAGGAACCCCAGGGTCTTGTTTGCCCGGTTCACACATTGTTAATGTGCTCGTCCCAGCGGACCTCTCTTTGAATGGTAACACCTAGGTACCTAACGGATGAAACTGGCTCAAGCATATGGCCATGCAGTTCGTAATGGTGGTGTAGAGGGGATCTGCTTCTGGAGACTGACAGGGTCTGGCACTTGACGGGATGAAATTCCATGTCCCAGCTCATCTCCACCTCTGCTAACCGATTGAGGTCCTGTTGTAACTGTTCCTGGTCAGAACTGTTGGCGATCGTCCTATACACTGCCGTGTCGTCTGCGAAAGTCTTACTTCAGAGGTCAGCTTCTCGGGCAGATCATTGATATATCATGCTAGGAACAAACATGGGCCTAGCGCAGAGCCCTGTGGGACCCCTGACTTAACACCAACAAAGGAGGAGGTTGTGCCATCTACCACTACTGCCTGGCATCGGTCGCTGAAGAAGCTTGAGATCCATGTTTTGATAGTGCCTTGGATCCCATATCTCTGCAGTTTGTATAATAGCAAACTATGATTGACACGGTCAAACGCCTTTGAGAAGTCCAGCACAAGCACATCAGTTTGCTTGCTGTTCTCCAAGTTGGTCGTCAATTCTTCAGCAAATTCAAGGAGTTGGGTCTCACATGATCTATTGACTCGGAAGCCATGCTGACACTCATTCAGTATATTGTGACTTTCAAGATGAGTCATGACCGCGCTTACGATTATGTGCTCCAGTAGTTTGCAAACTACGCTGGTGACGGATACCGGGCGGTAGTTGGCAGGGTCGTAATGCTCCCCCTTTTTGTAGATTGGAGTGACATGCGCTGCTCTCCAGTCATTTGGAACGTTGCTTGTGAATAGCAACGGTTGGAAGAGGATTGTCAGTGCAGGAGCGATTCTATTGGCCAATTCTTTTAGCACTCCTTGTTTGATGTTGTCAGGACCACATGCCTTGTAGGGGTTAATGGTTTTAAGAAGTGCGAGGGTGTTCTGAAATCTGGATATCTTCCCTGATGGGGTAGGCTGTGCTCATCATGTTGGTCTTCAGAAGGAACTCAACCTCTGAGTACTCTCTACCATCACCAAAGACCGATTGGAACTGTTGATTGAGTATGTCCGCCTGTGCTTTGGGTTCAGACGTCAAATGGCCGTCCCGTCTCAGAGGGGAAACCCCGGTGTTTGATGACCATTTGATGCTTGACGTAGCTCCAGAAGCGCTTGTTCTTGACATTCTTGGCCGGAGTATTTTCCTCTGAGAAGCTGCCGTTAAGGTAGTTCCAGTAAGATCTGCGCAGTAAGCGTTGGATGGTTCTTCGGAGCCTCAGTACTTCGGCTTTTATTTCGACTGAGTCATTCTTTTTCATTCGTTTGTACTGGCGTTCTCTCCTGTGTATGAGCCTACGGATTTCAGCCGTGACCCATGGCTGATTTGTCTTAGGTTTGGTGGTCCTGTGTGGTACGTATTTCTGCACTGCATCAGCGATTGTTGTCTTGAACTTCACCCACAGCTCTTCTGTTGTCGCATTACCCTGAATCTCATGCATGTTTGAGCTCAGCTCTGTTGTTGCACTAGGGCTTCTAGTTAACTGAATCCGGCCCTGTGAATAAGCGATCCTTCCAAATCCAAACAAACCATATTTCCACAATCCATCCAATACCAGGCGGTGGGGAAATGTGACACATGTCCAAAGGGGATGGCTGAGGCATTTGGGGGCCATCCATAAATGAAGTCACACATCTAGTGTGGAGGGGTCACGACTTTATGACGATGTTTTATGAGGGTATAAAAATTGTGTCACCATTTTGTAACATGATGGGCGAAGGGAGGGGTCCAAAATCGGCCAAAAAGGTGTGACGCCCCTAAAGAAATGTAAAAATTTGGTTAAAGTTAAATGCACATCACGTAGGCCAACTATTACGTATTCTGCAATTCGACCCTTTTTTTAAATATAAAACGTAATTAAATTGCTGTTACTTTTTTTTTTAGTGGCATAATACATAAATTTACAAAAGTCATAAAAGTTTTGTCAAAACTTGCCAAAAGGGGCTTAGGAATGTCGTGTCAGACCAACTTCAGAAGAAAAAAACCGTATTAAATATTTTGCCTATAAGTATAGGGAAAGTGGCATATAATACATATTTTTTATATATAGTAGATTAAAACATGCCCGCCCCCCACCCTCACCTTTATAAAAAATGTTTTTTTCTTCTAGATTCTGTATCTTCGGTTTCTTTACAACTCTACTCTACATGATTAAATACCAAGTCAAGGCAACTTCTACCTGACAGTTCAGGTCTTAAAGCAGCTTTTTTTACATGAGACCAGGTTTTGATGTTTATTTAAGTGTATTTACTTGAATAATGTTTTCAGTTACTCAGTTACTCTTCAAAGTAGGAGGAGCTTTCTAATCTTATTTCATCATAACTATATGTGTCTTGTTGTTCTAACCAATAATTTGTGGTCAAGTGAAAACTAAAGAAAAAGAGTTAATGAACAACACTTTGCTCCAACGTCTGCTGGCATAAAGTTTGTGTATTTTCTTTCATTTTACTTGGAGAGTAGGTTGATTACCATTCAATTTTTGGATTGTTGTATTGTTGTTTGTTACATCAAGCTAAATAGTACAAACATTGACAAAAAAATCACATGAAGCTCACCGCGGGGTGGGGGGGGGGGGAGAAAGAATAATAATGCAAAACTTGAATCTTTATGTTTGTTTAAGTTTTTTATTTTACTAAACAGAAAGGGATGCACATTTGATTATCCCCCACATTTATAACTATACATTATTTAAAAAAATAAATAAGTAAAGGGGCAACAACTGTTAATGTCAAAGAGAACTATTTCAAACTTATTATTCACTTACTGATAAACAAAAATATCGAGATATAACTTTTTATAAAGACATAGAAATAAAGAATTAATAGAATTTTATCAGCACTGTACTCCAAATAAATTAATACAATTCTTCCTTCCATGTTGACATTCAACTGCACATTTTCAGATCCAAAAAGGCCCCACACACAATTATTTCCACATTCTACATAATATGTACGGTAACAGCTAACAATCTCAAAAATACCTTTACTGATTTACTGACATGAGTTTACTTTTGGTGGTAATCAACAATTAAAAAATTGTATTCCTTTGAACATAATAATTTTAACTTTAATATGTTAAGTTCTTAAGCTCACTATAATGGACAGTTACACAATTTTACTCAAACTTTCAGCTGCTTTCAATGGACTTTAAAATAAATTGACATACAAAATGAAATCCCTAATCCAATTTTAGAACATTTCAAGCTCTATTCAAAGCCTAAAAATAATTTACATATTCTGAATTATTGACACGTGGATCCTGTAGAAAAGATAAATTGTGTCATTCATTAGCTTATCAAAAGACTGCATTTTAATTAAAGTAGAGCTAAAATCCCCCCCCCCCCCCCAACCAAATGATTAAAATTGGGCTATATCTACCTAATTATAAATTTACAAATTTTAAGCAATCTAAATTATTGTTTGTCTTTGCTTTCGAAGATGACAAAGGCAATAGAAGCAGCCTTGACTTGAGCCACATTTTGTTTAAAGTGAGAGTGTTGCTCAATTTGTCAGCCTCACTCTCTTGTCCTTGCCTATTTGATCCAATGGCAAGACTTAGTCAAGACGACTGGAAATAGACCAGGGTGCAGTAGATGACCAGCAGTGTCTTTTTGTGTATTTCATTGTGCTCTTCATGCATTGCACATAGCAGGAGTTGTTGGAATTTTCATTGATCAATGTCATTCTAAGGGATTCCATCCCCTGGGGTGCCATCCAAGGTTGAGTTCCATCCACTGGGATGTTGATGTTGTTTTTGCTTGTCTAGGCTCTTCCTGGGGATGGAACTCCAAGCTTGGAATTGACTCAATTTAGACCGCTTGGCCACCCAGCACCCAACATACTTGAATTGCAGTGCTATTAATTTTGTGAAAGCAATGAAATTGGCAGAGGAAGACATTGACGCTGGTGGAACCAATAGGTTAAGGAAACTCCACCACATACCCCAAACCTTGAAACAGATCGCTAAATTTACAATCAAACCCCCCCCCCCCCTCCTTTGATTAACACAGGCAGAAAAAGATATCTTATCAAACTTACTGAATAAATGATTTCATTGTACTCAAGGGCATCCATTCCATTTAGACCGCTTGGCCACCCAGCACCCAACATACTTGAATTGCAGTGCTATTAATTTTGTGAAAGCAAAGAAATTGGCAGAGGAAGACATTGACGCTGGTGGAACCAATAGGTTAAGGAAACTCCACCACATACCCCAAACCTTGAAACAGATCGCTAAATTTACAATCAAACCCCCCCCCCCCTCCTTTGATTAACACAGGCAGAAAAAGATATCTTATCAAACTTACTGAATAAATGATTTCATTGTACTCAAGGGCATCCATTCCATCCAGAATGAGCTCTGGAGCTTCATAAGGAGGATGGAAGGTGAAGATGGTGTCAAGCTTGAATTGCATAGCAGGTGAACCGCTGTATTGGATGATATCAAACATTTTTATGTAAAACATTACGCTCACCTTGGTAATTCTCCATTTTTTAAAAGCTTTTAAAATTATACTGCAGTTAAAAAAATGTTGGTGTGCCAGATGATACAGCATAGTAATTGACATATTTTTTAATGTTTTGCCAAGTATACTTAACAAATAATAAAAGGAGAAAAATGAAACAAAGTTAAAGCAGGTGTGGCCAACCCCAATGGCTTTATGAGCCATTTTGCTAACAAGTTAATTATTTGCAGGCCACATATCACTAGACCTAATAAAAAAAATCAATAAAAAAAACTGCTGTACAAAATTATCTATTTATTCTTAATGCAGATAAGAAAATAAAAAGTGAATTGAAACTAATGTGATAATTGTTGATCTTTTCTCTCACTCAACTTTTCAAAATCTATTTCTTTGTAAATTGAATGAGGAGAGAATGATTTTTTATGTGATATATCCAGAATCTGGAGGCCCAAAAAGTAATGTCACCAATTAATTGTAGTTTAATGCACTTAATGAGAACAGATTTATTTGCTAATTTGCAGAAATCCATTTATCAACTTTCCCAATCAATCCTACTCCACCCCTGAAAATGAGTAAAACTAATCTTTATAATCATAAAAGTTGGTGAAATTTACATTAAAAAAATTATCTTTTGATTCTTTTTCTGTTCAATTTGATTGAGAGCTTTTAAACTTACTCTCTGGAAGCTTCTGCAGAACAATCTATATATATAATTCGCCAGCAAAGGTCAAACACCACCACCACGTAGGCTATATATAGATAATGAGTTTACTAGCGGGCAAAATATAATTCCCAAAAACTACGCTAATAATAACGCAACTTTGTTTGGTGTGTAATATTTTTCAATAAATGAAATCGTCTCAATTTAAGAATGGTGTAAAAAAAATATTCAGTCTTTGGGACATCAGAATATTTAATATAGTTCATGGGAGTGAAAAAAAAATGTGCAGTGATGTAACATGGGGGGAGGGGGGGTAGAGCAAAAATTGGAATTCATAAATGTGCGATACTTGAGTTCATGTTTTGTCAAATAACTTTAGTAGATGGGCAGTTCACGCATTGCTGTCGCCAATGTTTGGCGGGCTATAACTAGTACAGTTATATTTGCTGTTTTTCCCCAGCTTTTAAACAAGTTTTGCAATGCAGAATAAGATTATTCCTAGTAATTTGAGTTGCGTCTTTAAGCACAAGAGATTTGAAGATTATCATTACAAAATGCAATGTAAGACTTATAAGTGCTAAACTAAAGGTGCTTCACAAACTACAGGCCTTCAAAAATATCAACCCTATCCTATACCCACTTTCCTTACTTGCCTCTGATTAATGATAAACTATTATGCATTTTCCACAGAATTAATTTTAAAAAAATGAAAGGCAAACAAATCAATCAACAAATATATCAAAACATCATACTTACAAGTTACGCATGTAGTTGTAGTCTTTGTTGGTTAAATTTTTCCAATCCCGAAAGCGCTTTTCATGATCCAAGGGTGCATGATCCAGATTAAGACTTTCCAGGTCTTCAATCATCTTAATAAAATGAAGGATTTTCAAAAATGTAAATCACAAAATCGATAAAAGAAATAATTTTTAAAAAATTTCCAACTTTATGCATTGGGAACAGATTTACACACCTGAAGACCACAATGATAAAATAATTAGCTGAAAAGCACAAAACACTTCATCTTTTTGAAACAATGTTAAATTAAAATGGTCAATAATAAAATTGACAAAATAAAGCTTCATGGCTTGCACTTTGCTATTTGAATTAGGGAATTGCATCATAATTTTTATTAGGGAATTTCCACCCCTTTTTGTCAACAACATTTATTCAGATACCTGGTACACATGAATTTAAATTTCTTTTGTTTTTAAAATTTTCACTTTTTTTGTTTAATTGAAAGATTCGAAATTAATTTTTTAAATCAGAAGTCAGTTACTGGGACTAATATAGAAGTTTTTCAAGTATAAAAAGAAATCATAATTTTTACTCACAACATCAAAATCTGGTACAGGTGCATCAGCCAAATTGTAGGTCAAAACTTCACAGTATTTTCTAAAAAGACAAAAAAAACCCCCATAAACAAGCAAGGTTTAAAAAGTTCCCATAAATTGGTATTATGGTAATTTTTTAAAACCATTTAAACTAGGGCTGAACCAGATGCTGACCCAGATACCTGGAAGCGCAGAGTATTTGTACACCTGGCACATACTGGGATTCGGGTAAAATAAACTTTTTTAAAATTATGTAAAAATAATAAACCTTTTTTTTTTAACCCGGTTCTAGTTTACAAAATTTTTTTCATGAATAAATAAATAATTATAGAAAACATCAGCAATAGGTGTGAAACTAAATGTAAGTTAAATGAAGCTGCAAAGCTCTGAAAATAAAAATTTACTTGCGGCGAATTTTGTGGAATTATTTGTCTTAGCAAGATGTATATCTTGGTTATGACCATGGCACATTCTATTTACAATTAATATTTCATCTCAAATGCTCACTGGCTGATGATTCTGAGTAGTCAAAGTTTGTGTTTGTGTGTGTGAAGCGTTTCTAAGTTCTGTCCTAGAATTCAGTAATAGTAATGTAATTTAACACTCATTTAATAAGTGAAACAATTTAAAATTTAAATATTCATTTACGGTGATCTGACTAGTTTCTTATCCTTCCTGCACTCTGACTACACTACCGCTACATAAAATAAAAACTATAAATCCTTTGGTAGATGTCAGCAGCTCATTTTTTATAAACATTTTGGCAGTTTTTTACATTTCAAATGATTAAAATTTTTTGTTGCAACTTTTCCTTTTTTAATTTTTTTGGCCCAAACTTAAAAATTGGCAGCTTTCCCGCAAAACTATAAGCCTCCAATCTTCCAAGCCCTTATATACTCTTCTTCCCCCTCCACATCCACAGCCCACCCCGATAAAATAACAGTACCAAAGCCTTTTTATCTACAAAAAAAGCTCTGCCCCCTTCCCCTTTCTCAACACCTGTTTCTCTATTTCAAGGTATAATTCTGGTTATGCGTTCCCACAACTTGACATAGGTTATAAAAGGGTCAATACACCAATAATGTTGAGAATCGCTGGGTCAATATTATTTCATTAAGCTATTTTTGTTTTGAAGCCTTCAAACTTAAACTTTTTTCCTATTGTTGGTTACTGGTTCTATAAATGCATTTTACACTTCTTCCTAATGGAAGGAATACATTATATAATTTGAGAAGATACATTTTTTTTTAAATAACACATTTACCCACACACGCTGCTGGGTATTTTCTCAAAATACCCAGACCCTGACCAGTTGTACAAAAATGCGACCAGTTCAGCTGTATTTTAAATAGGCAGCAATAAATGTTCTTAAATGACGTCAAACTTATAGCCAATATGAATGGAGTAATTCAATTGGTAATAAAAACTTTGAAAACTTATTTGAAAACTTTATAACTATTACAATTTATTATACTAAACATTACAAATCACACAATAATAATAATTATAATAATAATAAAGTTCATTTCAAAAACACGCTTCATCCCCAAAGGCTCGAAGCGCGGTACAAAGTCAACAAAAACAAATCTATAATTTACCACATTTAAAACAAACGCAACACTACAAAAGCTAATTACAAGCATACAATGTCAAAGTCTTTCTAGCCATTTCAACCATAAGCAACACAGCCATTATGCATTAACTAAAAAATAAGGTAGACAATAACATGTGTGCTTTATAATCCACTTTTCTTTTTACTTGAAGTTGGTCATTGCAGAACTCGGTTGTTTGTCACAAAGCCATATTATGTTACATTTAAACTAATATGAGAGGCACCATCCTTAGAAATATCTGACTTAATTTTTTAGAAAATCATCACTGCAAATTTCTTTCAGACAAGCAGAGAAATCCTAATTGGACTCTTCTTATACTTATAGGTTGCATTGCTCACTTTTGTGCAGCATTAAAAAAATTTGATACAAAAATAAACAAATATATACAATTTTATTTGTTGGGGTGGTCTGTGAAAACAGTTCGATATGCTAGCCTTATATTTCATACAATTGAAGATCTTACTATTATTATTTGGCGGATCTAATGCATCATTATTAACTATACATAAATTATACTAGTGAATAATATGACAGTACCTCATATGTGGAAGATAAACTGTCTTGTAAACATCATTGATGGTGTGGAGAAATTCATCATTCAAAACCGGGCTGTTCACTTCCCAGGGCTGAAATACACCAAAGATTATATTGTAGAGAACCTTGGCTCATCTAAGTTCTACTTTCGTTCTCTATTTCGTTGTTTGGATGACAACACTTGCTTCAACTGCCACTCGTATTTCAACAATCAAATAACAGACAACTGGACTATGATTACAGTCTTAGATCTTTCATTTATTTTCCACCTCAATTTCCCTTTCTCATCTCGCACTCAGCTCGGACTGTCCCGGTTCATCTCTCTCTCTACTGTGGTCTCCCGACTGTCCATAGCCAACTGTCCTCTTTCCTGTCCGGCTGAGTTCTCCTTAGTCCCGCCTAACGGTCCCTTTTTATAAGTCCCCGAATCGTTTGTGGTGTCTCTAGAGATTCCTTCCAAGGGCTGATCTATTTCAACATCTCTGGTATTAAAATTTTCTTAACGCTTCCCTCCATTTAAATGGACATTATCTAGCCACTACTGTCACCGTAATAGTGGTACTAGCCTTGTCACGGTGTAATCTGATATACTACAATGGTTGGTCAGTCTTCGTACAGTGGGTTCCCCCCACCAATGTACCACCCAGATCGTCTACCCAGGTCTGGACTCTCCACAATATAAAAATAGCTACATTTCTAATAAAATCATGGATTGTTTATTTTGCATGTTTATGGATCTAAACGAGCAAAAGAATTTGAATTTGTTTAAAGTTATTGATTATTCAACTGTATAGTCGGTGCCCCAACATGGTATTCTTCCAATGCACACCAAATAAAAATTAAAAAACATCAGATTTAATTTCAATATGGTAATTTTAATTCAAATGCTTATGACATGCGGGTACTTAGCAGGAAAACTATCACTTATAAAGATAAGGCTGTTTGTCATCAAACATAAACAAAAAAAAAAGGTGCCAGTGGATTAAACTTTTCCTAATTCACTCTAACGCTGAAAGGAAGGATAAGACAATAAACCCATGGGAGCTGCCATGCTGTTTGTTTTCTAAGCTGTCAACCAAACTAGAACTGATAATGATAGGAGGAAGATAACAAACAGCAGAGAGAGAGAGAGAGAGCAAGTGTCAGGCAAGTTCCAGGAAAGTCAGCAATGCCAATCATAACTAATAGCTATTTTTTACAGGTTTTGCTGGCATGACATTTTTCCTTTAAAAGCCTTCAAATTCCTCCTGTTCGTTATCTGATCTAAGTACATCAATGACATCTTGTGATACATTTGTAAGGCAGTCATCGTATGGATCTAATTCCGTATCAGATGGTGTGGTCTCAGCTTCGGCCTCCTCTTCATCTTGTAACAAGTAGTCGTCCTCCATACCATCTTATGAATTTGATATGCCACACTTCTTGAAAGACTTGATTACTGTTTCTGCATCAATATCATTCCAGGCTTTTATGACAAACTTGCACAAAACATCCAACTGTGGAGCATGCATTTTTCCTCCTTTTGTGAATGCATTTTTGACGCTAACCATCCACTCATTCCTCTGTTCTTGAATGGGATTTTTAAATGGCTTGTTTAGGCATACATTCAGTGGCTGTACCAATGATGTCAATCCTGCAGGAATAACTGCTGCATCGGTGTTTATTCTTGCCAGCCTTTGTTTGGTGCTGGGAGTTAAATGAGCCCTGAACATATCCCACACCAGTAGACTATGTTTTTGAATAAGTACACCTGGTCGCCTGCTCCATACATTGTCAAGCCATAGCTTTACTCCTTCTTCATCCATCCAGCTTTTTTTTATTCACATGTACAAAACAACCAACAGGGAACTTGAGTTTTGGCATTGTTTTTCTTTTAAAAATAATCATTGATCTCAGTTTGGCGCGGTATACCATCTTATTAGATGACCCCTGACATATAAGATGACCCCAACTTTTGAAAAGATTTTCATGGGTTAAAAAGTCGTCTTATTCGCCAGAAAATACTGTAGTTAAAAATTTTTGTGTGTGTATTTCTTTCACATTTAAAATATTCATCTTGCTTGCATATAAAAAAATATAAATAATTAACTGTAATATTTAATAAGAAGATAACTTACTTAATAACAATTTCAAGGATAAACAAGACATACCACATTCCTCTTTTTAATATTGTCTTTGACAAGATGAACTGGAGCATCTAAATAAATAATTAGATGAGGATGCCAGAAATAGTCTGTGGCCACATCATACTGATACTGATATGCTTTCAGGGCTTTAAAAGTAAAAAAAAAACACAACCAAATAAAAATTTTGTGTGATTAAAAATAAAACAAATGAGATCAAACATTAACATCCACTAGGTCTAAGCATGAACGATTAAATGGAGTCAACTATTAAAAAACTTCCAGGAAATTAAGATAAATGATTAGCTTTTATTTCATTTATCTAACTAGGCAATAGGCAATTTATATTTTTTTAAATCACCAATTAAAGTGCTCGTTTATAATAAACTTTTAAATTTTGATAAAAATTATTTAAAATCATGGATTTTGGCTTAAAAAGCATAAATATCAAAACTATGTCTGATATATGGTCTATAATTTAAAAAAAAGTAAACTTCTTTTTTTTCTCGGTCTAACATCAAATTTTGTAAAATATTAACTTTTTTGTTGCAAAAGGGTTAGTAATTAAACAAAAATTCACATACGTTTTTAAAATATTATAATGTGAATTCAGATTTTCATTTTTACAAAATAAATAAAATGAAAAAAAAAAAAAAAAAAAAGCACAAAAAAAAAATTGGAAAAAAAAAAAAAGAAAAAAAAAATAAAAATAAAAATTAAAAGGGTTAGTAATTAAACAAAAATTCAAATACGTTTTAAAAATATTATAATGTGAATTCAAATTTTCATTTTTAAAAAAAAAATAAAATGAAAAAAAAAAAAAAAGAAAAGCACAAATAAATAATTGGTTATGAATAAGAAGGAAAAGAAAATGAAGATCAAAATTATTAAAGCAGTGAATAATGCACACAACTTTTATATTTTTATGGGTTACATTTTTTCCTCAAAAGTGGCATGATGCCCCCCAAGAAGAGAATGAAGTCCAAAAATGCTTAACTGGAACTTAATTAACACTTTTTAAATAGTTCTTTTGTTTCTTACCTGCAGGACTAAAGAAACCTTGTCTTCTCAAAGTATGAGCAAACACAATGTCTGACCACATTCCTCTATTCATTACAATACCTTGGCCTGCAAATAAAATTGAAAGAATTTTGTTTGAAGTCACAAATAGCTAAAATTGAATTTTAATACTAGAATCATTTAAAACTATTTTGTGAGACTGGTAACAAAACTTTACTCTAGTGGGGTCTCAAAGCCATGGTCTGCATGCAATTTTTTAAAGCTTTAACTTTAACCATGTGAACCACAAAATGTCGCAAAGTGATTAGTGTAACAAATTGAAATAATACATGCCAAAAAGTGTAGGCATTGGGGTACTGAGGCTCTTATTGAAATTATTACATTGCATTTTATAAACAATCTGTCAAGAAAGTATAAAGCTTAACTATAATTAAATTAATTAGACACTGGTAATTTATCCTAAGTTATTATTCTTTTTTTTTTGCTAAAGCTGAATAAACTACTTTAAATATGTAGAATTAACTAAATATCAAAATTTCTTCATGAGTTCATAATATAGACCTATTACCTGTGTTCAACAAGTGAGCCATTATGGTTTGGGCATATCTGTACAATTTGCTTCTAAAAAGCATGTACTGTGTTCTAGGAAAATTCTGTAAGATATTCTTTGGTGCCTTCCTAGAGTAAAATTTTTCAAAATCACAAGTACGTGCCTTTACTGGCAGCTGTTCATCAAATTCCCTCAAATCAAAACCCCGTTCAGGAATTAAGTCACACATTGTAGCATTAGAGAAATCAGGGACATACAACATATCAAATTCTTTGGCAATTTTTTTGCCCAACTCAGTTTTTCCAGTAGCAACATTTCCATCTATTACAATGATCTTGCTGTTTTCATCAAAACGCTTGTCTGGCCTATCAAATGGTACATGCCAAAACCTAAATCCCTTTTCCTTGTAGGGCCATGGTTTTTTACGTTGAGGAGGAGAACCTCCGTAAGCAGTAAGATGAGCAACACTATTTGCCCCTGGAGCCAATGCATAATCTGCATTAATTTTAAGCAGCAACGGCAATTTCTTATTAGCCGAGGCACGCAAAACAAGGGATCTTGCCAACATTATTGTCATTTTCGATTTGTTTACAGAAGACAAATCATAGTCCGGTTGTCCTATTAGAATTTGTCAATAGTGGTCTATAATGTCACCCCCAGAAACCTAGCCGGAAATCGTTTATAGAAAACAAAAAAGGCCCATACTATTTAGATAACTTTAGTCAAAATGAGCTACACAACTGCTTCCTATCTACCTTTAACGGGGCGAAAGAAACACATTAATATTAAAAAGGCTGGTAATAACAATTTTTTTAGGAAGTCACAAAATTTTAAGCTAAATCTAATTGAAAATGAGTTAAATGACTGGTTGAAGGGCTAGAGACATAAGGCAGGTTACAGTATCTTGAGCAGTGATTCTTTCAGACCCCCCCCCCCCCCCCCCCCCCGTGGGTGTTCGGTTATCCTGGTTCCAGTTAGTGCGGAAAATTGATGCCAAACTGCAGTGCTTTTTAATGTTGGGTCGCTAAATATAACAATGCCACTCCCCATAATAATAATATTAATAATAAACAACAACAAACAAGCAAACATACAGACAAACAAACGGTTAAAATCCTAGGTATAAATAATTATTCGGTTTTCGTCCCGGTCTGCTCACTCTGTCATTCAGTTTAATTTTAAGTGTCCGGGGAGAGAGAGAGAGAGAGAGGGGGGTGAGAAAGGGAGATGAAGGGAGAGACAGAGATAGAGAAAGGGAGAGAGAGATGAGAGAGAGCGAGAGAGAGAGAGCGAGAGATAGAGAAAGGGAGAGAGAGAGAGGAGAGAGAAAGGGAGAGACAGAGAGAGAGAGATAGAGAAAGGGAGAGAGAGATGAGAGAGAGAGCGAGAGATAGAGAAAGGGAGAGAGAGAGAGATGAGAGAGAGAGAGAGCGAGAGAGAGAGAAAGGGAGAGAGAGACAGACAGAGATAGAGAAAGGGAGAGAGAGACAGAGAGCGAGAGAGAGAAAGAGGAGAGAGAGATAGAGAAAGGGAGAGAGAGCGAGAGATAGAGAAGGATGAGTGAGAGAGAAGAGAACATTTTTATACGGTGTTGACCTTTAATTTGACAAATGACATTAAAACATACGAAAAACGGCAGTTAGCATGAATAATAGCTGGAGCTCGGAGCACTGGAGCAAGGTCTTTTTGCTCAGCGGAGCTGGTAAAGAAACTGCACTACTCCGTGCTCCAAAACTTAAATAAATAAATAAACTAAAACTTGTACACAAATTTCATGACATAAAATATTTATATCTTTAATGCTACATACCGTGTAGTAACATATATGTAATATATATATATATATAAATATACAGTATATTCTTTCTTTAAATACTACTCGATAAAGTATTGAGTACTGAGTATTCTACGAGCATCTTTTGTAATTGTGACGCGGCTTCACAATGTCTGCTAAGATTTGCTGTTCAAAATATTTTCTATTTCAAACCATTTCATTTTCAATTTGTTGTTATTCAATTTTTAGAAAATCAAAGTTGAATATATATATATATATTAAGAATGGAAGAAGATTAATTCGTTCCTGCAAAAGAATGGTGGTGAACAGTGTTTCTTTCAGTCATCTGTCCCAGGAAGCAGTTCTTGAGGAAGCAGTCCATTAGGAAGCAGTCCATTAGGAAGCAGTCCATTTGGAAGTAGTTCATTAGGAAGCAGTCCATTTGGAAGTAGTTCATTAGGAAGCAGTCCATTAGGAAGCAGTCCATTTGGAAGCAGTCCATTTGGAAGTATTTCATTAGGAAGCAGTCCATTAGGAAGCAGTCCATTAGGAAGCAGTCCATTAGGAAGCAGTCCATTAGGAAGCAGTCCATTAGGAAGTAGTCCATTTGGAAGTAGTTCATTAGGAAGCAGTCCATTTGGAAGTAGTTCATTAGGAAGCAGTTCATTTGGAAGTAGTCCATTAGGAAGCAGTCCATTTGGAAGTAGTTCATTAGGAAGCATTCCATTAGGGAGCAGTCCATTAGGAAGCAGTCCATTTGGAAGTAGTTCCTTAGGAAGCAGTCCATTAGGAAGCAGTCCATTTGGAAGTAGTTCATTAGGAAGCAGTCCATTAGGAAGCAGTCCATTTGGAAGTAGTTCATTAGGAAGCAGTCCATTAGGAAGCAGTCCATTTGGAAGTAGTTCATTAGGAAGCAGTCCATTTGGAAGTAGTTCATTAGGAAGCAGTCCATTAGGAAGCAGTCCATTAGGAAGCAGTTCTTTAGGAAGCAGTCCATTTGGAAGTAGTTCATTAGGAAGCAGTCCATTTGGAAGCAGTCCATTAGGAAGCAGTCCATTTGGAAGTAGTGTATTGGGAAGCAGTCCATTAGGAAGTAGTCTATTAGGAAGCAGTCCATTAGGAAGCAGTCTATTAGGAAGCCGTCCATTAGGATCAGTCTATTATGAAGCAGTGCACGAGTCACATCAGAAGCGCAATATATATAAAAATAGTGTATTGTTATTTACATTTTTTTTGCAATTAGTATTCATTTCAGGCTTTTCTATGGGCAATGCAAAGCCCCCCTCCAACAAGTCAACCATCGATTACACCCAAAGCACAAAGTGTTTAAAAAAAAAGCGAAAATATTAATAAATATAACAATTAAATTGTCTTTCTTATAACATTTTTTTAAATTAAAGAGTTGTAAATGATACCTTTATCTAATAAAATTAGGGAAATGGTGGAACCAATTGACTGTCGCTTCGCTACGTATAGTTGATATTGATCACATATTATTATTTTTTATACCGTTATTTGTTTTGATATTTTTTTGCAACATTTCCAGTTTAAGACTAACATTATAGTTATAGTGAAAAGCTCAGCCTGTCCTGGAAACATGTTGACCTAAACTAACTTTCCACCGCTGTTAAGGCTCATATTTTAAATAAGTTCTTAGTTACAATACGTTTTCCATTCTTATTGCTTTACAATATAAGTTCAACTTATAAACTAGGACAGGAGATTAATTATATATTATTGTCATCATGTTTTCATTAAAAATATATCCTTAATGAAGAAGTTTAACGAAATAAATGGTTGAATTAAAACAGTGAAGCGTACGATTTGTGAGGAAGGCAGATACTTGTATCAAAGGGACGGTTCTCAGGTACTTCAAAAAGTGTATTGGGGTCGTCAGTTAATTATGTCAACAAAACGGGGTGGGGGGTGGGGGTGGAAGTGTTAGACAATTGTTGACAAGGGGGAGGGGGGTTAGATTAGTTGACGTCAACAATCATGTTTTCTCTATTAAAATTTTAATCTTAAAAATTGACTGGTTATTACATTATTTTAGCTAATTTAATGAATGTAAATTAAAATAGATATATACTGTTATATAACAGCTTGTTTACATAATTTTTCTCGTGCGTGCCCTCTGATTGACCCCGCATGAGACGCTGTGTTCACAGAGGGGTGTGGCTTAGTCGTTTGATCTGTCGTGTTTATACCGCCAACCACTAAAAATAATTAATCTGTTCCAAATAGTATTTTGTAGAATGAATGTGATTGTTCTAGAAACGTCATAGGTTTTCTGGAAGGCAGGGCTCACGCGACCTATATAAGGGATTGACAGGCACGGAAGGAGGGACGGAGATTCAGATAACTTTTATTAACTTTACGAGACGTGTATTATTCTTTGTGTTCTTATATATGTGTTTATTTTCGCATTTCATCATTATTCATTGGTACATTATTCCAACTGTGTTAACTGTGTACCGGTACAAGATCTACCATACTGTAAGTTGAAGATTGTAATTATATTTTGTTTTCTTTTGTAATTATCTTAAGACGTAATAAATCTTAATTAATTGTAACGAGAAACTGTTTTGGGTGTCGTATCTTTAATATTGCTGACTCTATGGTATTGTCCTTTGTTAGGCACTGTTTACAACGAGCCAAATTAAAATTAAAATAGGAGATTAATTTCTCCCAATATAAGTCAGTGCGTAACAATACTTTTTAGGCTTTTAACGATATAAGATTGATTTAATGTGTCTGTCTGTGCATTGCTGAGGGCTTGTAAGAATGCTAGCACACTTTGTTAGTGCAAAAGGGGTCAAAAGTTGCCCTGTCTTCGCCTGTAGATTCTGTTTGTCGCAAATGACTAGGGCCTTACGCTTGCGATCATGTTGCAAGTATGTAACAAGGACAAGGTTCAAGTGTCATGTGCAGTCAAGATAAATGATATTAAAAGAGTTGGAATACGATATTTTGAGAATTAGAGGAGAGTAAAGGGAGTAACAATAATCACATCGCTGCTTGAACGGATTTGCAAAATCTGTAATATCTATTTTGCATCACAAGTCATGTTGAAATAGCAAGTTCAACAGCACCAACAATGCATAAGAAATTATCACCTGCGCCAAAAAAAGATTCGACTAATGCAAGTAGCTGCTGGGAGACAGGGAGAGCTTATGGCAATTATTGCGCTCACTGACAATGTGCTGAATGGTAGGATGAGAAGAATTTTGACTTGTCTGGTATATCAATATCAATATCAGTATCAATATCAGTATCAATATCAGTATCAAGATCAATATCAATATCAATATCAATATCAATATCAATATCAATATCAATATCAATATCAATATCAGTTCAACAAGATGACAATAATAACTCAGCTACTGTGCCCACGGTTACGATAGAGCAACACCTGGCTACTCCCTGGTGTGATGATAGCAGCTAGAAACTACGCTACAATTGTCAGCTTTACTGACAAAAATCATATTTATACTACCACAAAAAACAAAACAAAAAGAAGATAATTAGTCTATCCTTCTCATTGATTCTGCATTATAAAATTCAAGTGTAAAAACTTATTAACTTGTTGATTAACAAGCTAAAGATGCAATAAAATGTTTTTCCTACAATTGCGTGTTATTAAAATAGATCAGCACAAAGAAAAATGTAGTTCTATATATTTTATTTATATTATATTATATTTCTTTTTTTTTTTTTTTTTTTTTTTTGATCCCTCCACTTTCGACAAGACAATAGGTTCTGACTTTGTTCCGCCCCGGCATGGGCACCTGCAGAAAACTTTCTAGGGGGGGGGGGCAAAAAAATCGATTAACTTTCCAGGGGAGGGGGGGGGCAAAAATTGCTTAAAATATGTTGACGTAATTAGTGGACGCACCCATGATAGTTTTTTCTTCATTGGAAATCGATGAATGTTCACAGACATCGGGCAATGCCAGGTTGATGTGTTTTGAGAGATACGTTTGATAATACACCTTAAGGAGTTCTCCTTCATTCCCGCTGATTTCTTTCTAAAGACAAATTATAATATAAATGTGATTTGTATTAAATTAATTCTAAAAAAAGGGATAGATTGTAAGAAAAGTGTGGGTCTCAGTAAGGGTGAAGCTTGACCAATGGCAGGCGCTCGTTCAGGCCATGACCATTCAGTGCATGTGTGGATTGTAGTTGTAGTAGCATTCACAGAGAAGCTTTTGTCGCACTAAAATAGGAAATTGTGTACAAAGATTGTGTAGAATTTATATACATTATAAAATATGGTAAGTTGAATTCTGAATAGATTAAAAATATACTTTATGATACCGTGTTTAGATACATCTAAAGAAGTCAGAAAACGGGTGAGAGACCTCTAATAAATACTTGTTTCAATGGCTTGTTCCCAAGCCGTGCATGATATAAGGCTCGAATGCATCAATATCATTCAAATCAGTGGCGTAGCTAGTGAAAGTACCGGGGCGGGTCCAGGATTGTTTCCACCACCATTCCATATAAAAAAAAGTAATCTCTGCAGTTGTCCGAAAATTCCGCCCCTCCGCAGAAAGAAAGCAAAAAGTGCTAACCAAAGACGAACATACGACCAAATCCTTATGGAATGCACTCAATTGAAAGAAAGCAAAAAGTGCTAACCAAAGACGAACATACGACCAAATCCTTATGGAATGTACTCAATTGAAAGAAAGCAAAAAGTGCTAACCAAAGACGAACATACGACCAAATCCTTATGGAATGCACTCAATTGAAAGAAAGCAAACGAACACAACACAAAAGTTATTAAATTGATAAGAAACACAAACAGTCTTTGCAAATAGTTATTTTATTTGCCTGCAAGTACAAGTACCATCATTTTCTGTTCAGGACATGCAATGAAACCGGTAAATCGCTTACTCGATGTTGCCATGGTGACGGTAGGTTCAAAGGAGATACAGATGACACAAGCCTTAGCTGAAGGTAGGCTGTAAGCTTTTACAAGCTTTCTGGATATGTCTACCCCCAGTATAATCATCTAATTAAAAAAAAATAAAATAAAAAAAAACCATAAAAAAACAACACCATCAAAACGCACAAAAGACCATTCCTGAAGTAGTTGGGGCTAATCGTTCCATTGTTAAAGAAATGAAGAGGCAATTAGCTTATAAAATCATATAGTATTATGGTATTAATTAGAGTTAGAGCCTTCCAGATTTGTGGCGCATTGTGTTTAAAAGGAGTTAACCTTTGAGTTCAAGCGGGTTTGTGGGGGAACAGAACAAAGCATGGCTCTTAATGCGTGGTGAAAACTAGCTACTATAATTGAATCATGCGTGTCCCAACTGGTACGCCGGTCCTCCTAGTCCTAGTAGTTTTTTTTTTTTTTAATTTGGGCGGTGGGGATGGTTTGGGGGGGGNTTTTTTTTAATTTGGGCGGTGGGGAATGTTTGGGGGGGGGGGGAGATTGCGAACGAAAAGGTTAATCTTGAAATAAATCAACATTTTATTATTTATGACGAGCAGTGGGGTTAGGTAGGGGGCTGCAAATGGTTTAGACTTGGAAATAAGGGGGGCCCGTGTGGTTGGTTTGGGGGGGGGAGGGGAGGGGCAAAATTAAAATCTTTTTAAAAAATTAGTCACAGTAACTAAAATTATAAAAACCATCGAATAAATAAAATAATATGTTATTAAACTAAAAATTATTTCCTCATTAGCTCCTTCAGTCTGGGCGTTGACTTCTTCTTTTTGCTCCACTTTCGTTTTAGCTTTAGCGTGTTGAACTTTCGCTACCTAACTGTGCAGATCTCGAAGTTTGATGGAGTTCAAATATATGCGATGTAAATTGTTTAGGATGATGAGATGTTGAAAGGGTCAAGGGTCACTGTGAATATACTCCAGTACATTTGGGAGGCCGCGCACCACACACGCACTTAACGCACTTCGGTACAGGCTGAGGTCGTGAGCGTCATACCTGTAGAACGTACGAGATAAGGGGTTATTAAGAGGATCTGACGCCGGTGGGGTGGGGCGCTAGGGGGGGGGGCACTTTTTAATGTTCTGGAAGCCGCTTTGCTGGGAACAGACGAGTGGGGAGAAAAGTAACTGGAGATGTGATTTTTTTTTTTTAAACAGTAACTGAACAGTTTACTTATGAATAAATGTATTAAAAATATTTTGCGTTACGGTATTAGAATTTGAGGCGGAATCTAGCAACATTTTTTAGAATCATAAAATGAGGCTTATATCAAAATCGTACAACAACCCAGGCTAAGCTATAAGATATCAAGTTTGATTTTGTTTTTTTACACATCACCCCATAGACGGTTACTTCAGAAACATCATATGAAATGCATCCACAGCCTGTCACCATGACGGCCTGTCACTATGATGGCCTGTTACTTTGACGGCCTGTTACCATGATGGCTGGTTACCATGACGGCCTGTTCTTAAAACAACAGAGATTTTTTTTTTTTTTTAAATGTTCGCCGATGGCACAAGAAACGCTGGGAAACACTGTATAGTAGCATTTCCCAAACTTTTAAGTTTGGCAGACCGGTGGACACGTTTTGAAATTGCACCAGGGACCGGTGGACACGTTTTGAAATTGCACCAGGGACCGGTGGACACGTTTTGAAATTGCACCAGGGACCGGTGGACACGTTTTGAAATTGCACCAGGGACCGGTGGACACGTTTTGGCATTTTATAAGGAACCTGTGACAGATTTATTAATTAAGTTTTCTTTTTATTCGACCATCAAATATTTATGTTGTGCGTACAGGCAACGTAAGGTCCGCAGACCACCATTTGAGAAACACTGCTGTAAAGTGTAGCACTAAAAAAAGTTGAAATATCCGTAAATGTACGAGTGCAAACAAAATCCTAAAACAAAACAAAGACCAACGTTCTTTGAAAAGAAAATATTACCATTCGTCAGCTTTAGAATCATAGCACTCCACGTTGAAGATGGTCGTGACACCATTAAAGCCGCCAATGACGAAGACCATCTCATCTATTACCTGCACACACAGAATAGAAGATAACAACCGAAGGGCTGCATTCAAGCTGTGCGAGTGAAATAGTCGAACAAGATATGTGGACGGTTGAATGAACAAAATCCTCCTTCCTACTTCCGGCAACAACAAAGGAGATTAAGTTTTGTTTTTACTGTGCTTGGTTTCTTGTCTTATTTTCATCCGTCCTGTTTGCCGAGAAAGGCTCTACGCCGAAACATTCACGTCTTAGTCTCCTGTCGTTTGATTCAAGCTTTCACATACCTTGTTCTACTATTTCATCCACACAGAATAGAAAGGATCACTCCTATTCACTAAATCACGAGTTCATCAAGTCATTTTGATTTTTTTTTCTTCAAATGTGATTTATAACAGGTTTATTTATAATTGAAAACAAATGTGTCTGTGTGTGTGTGTGAAAACAACGCCAATGAACACACGAGACGGTGGAAGTAACCGACTAGATAGAAAGAGACCAAAACGCAGACTGACTCGTCACTAACCTCAATGGCAAAGTTGCTTCGCGGGCTGTACATTTCCGGTATGGTGGACCATGTCTTCTTGACGGGGCAGTAGCGCTCACCAGTGTTCATCCGGGTTATGCCATTGAAGCCTCCCAGGGCGTATATCATACCGTTGTAAGCTATGACACCAACTCCACTGCGACGATTCCGCATGGGGCTGAAAGCAGGGAACACACCGTTACAGTACGGCTGGTCCACGATGCACAGTCGCAAAACTGCCCTCAAGAGCCATCTCTTCAAACTGTACCATACTGACTCAGTCTCACCCCCCCCCCCCCACACCTCTAACGGATAAACAACGCTCGATGCTGCTGGGTCGACAGGTACCGACCTGTCCCCATCTATCATGAACCGAGGGTGCTGTCCATGGCTGGACAGGGGTAGATAGTACTTGGGAGGGTGCTGTCCATGGCTGGACAGGGGTAGATAGTACTTGGGAGGGTGCTGTCCATGGCTGGACAGGGGTAGATAGTACTTGGGAGGGTGAGGTCAGACTTTTCACCAATTGTTGTTTTTAAATGTATACTTTTCTGTAACTGATAATTTTTACGTGAAGCGCAGTGAGCCTAGCCCTAGGCTGGGGTACTGCGATATATAAAAACTCATGATAATTAAATAATAATAATAATAATAATAAACAGACTAAAACTCGAGGCCAACTAACATCTGCGGTGTTTTGATTAAGGCGTTGAAACTGAAAACTGATTGTTGATTTTCTTAAACGAGATACTGTTTTTTTTTTCTTTATCATGGTTTTTAAAAAAATCCTGAATTTATATTTTTAATAATCACAATAAACGAAAAGTCAATTTAAATAGTAGTTCCTGACATCAGGTGTCAAGAGATACGGCACGCTTTGACACTCCTTCGAGGAATTCGAGGATGGTCACTTCCAAAACAGATGACTGCTTTTTGTGATGGTTTGGGTACATATGACTTAATGTGATATTTTTTAACCTATTATATGGTATAGTCCTCTTACCTGTTATTCATGGTGAATATAATTTGATGATAAATGTATTTTTGTTTATTAAGAATTAGTCTTATTTTATGTTCAATAAATAAAATTAATTATGAATTCATTTAAAGTCTTGCTTTCATTCATTCTATTTCAGGGGTATCAAGCTCGCAACCCGCGGACTGTTGAGACCCGCTGGTCCTCACTTTTGTGAGACCCGCTGGCTCACTCTCTCTTCATCGCTAACCCACCCGATATGACACAATTAGGCTGGGCCTTAAAATAATAAGTAATGACTCAAATAACAATGTAAATTAGCCTGATAACCTTGGCCGTGATACAAGTTAAACAATGCACTCATTCTGGTCAAGCGTCCCAAGCGACGCATGTGAGTCATGAGAATTCAGGACACCAAGCGACGCCTGAATACCAACGCGGGCGCATGTGAGACCCGTGAACGCGACTCTTGAATGCCACTCTTGAATGCGGGACAATGACGCCAAACTTAGAGCATATATTGAAGGCCCTAATCATGTATCGGCTTCTTTCACCTGAAGTATGTCAGTTAGAGCCTGGCTTGCATAATTAGTTGATGAAGTGTGTTTATCCTGATTAGGTTGGGTTAGTATTGTAAATCTTCATATTCATGTGTACTGGTATGTAGAATTGCAGTTCTAATGTTATTAATTAAGAAAATGTAAGGACTATAGTTACTGTTATGATTGATTATTAATAATGTGATGTGTTTTTAATTGTTTACCATGTCTTATGCATTGTATTTGTTATTCTCATTTCTAGCCAGTAAATAACATTTGGCCAGTAAGTAATATTTGGATCAGTGGATCAGTGAGTGATCGTTGAACTAGAAAGTAATAATTGAGTAATTAATAGTTGAACAAGTAAGTTATAGTTCAGTAAGAACGGTGAAGTAATTGACAGTTGAATTTACTACTGTAGAAGCTAGTACATTTCAGTTAGTGGAGTCAGCCGTTAGGGTCAGAATAACGCTGATCTCCTATTAAATTAAACGAACCCTGCGTAGATTAGTTCTACTACTACTAGAATATCAGACACCCCCACCAGAAGCTGTGTGTGTGTGCTTAGAGTCTACGCCCACGTTGCAGTGCGAGTTACCAGAGACCCGTTTCGTCACCGAGACGACCGCAGTGCGCCGTGACCAGTGACCAGATAAAGAGGACAAACACAGTACCGTCTTAAGGCATTGGCACAGTGGGCACTTGCCCAAGGCCCCGCATTTTTGAGGGGGCCCCCTTGCTTCTAGGAGACTCCCTCTTATAAAGGCATTATGTTGCAAGTATATTGTAAGGAAACCTTGCTTGCTCTCTGCTAAACTTCATCTATATCTGGTATTCACTAAGGAAGCAACTCAGGCGATAACATTTGATGATTATAATCGTGTTCTTTATTAGGCTGACACTTCGCTTATACGTTCTCTCATCTCGCAACTCTGACTGCCCTCTTCTCCTGCCGTCGGAGCTCTCCCTGACTGTCCGCTTCTCTGTCCGGCCGCGTTCTGTCAGTCCCGTCTAGAGGTCCCTATTTATAAGTCCCTGGTCCATAGAGTTCCTTTCCCAGGTCTGTAATCTGACGCGCCCACCCCTTTGATCAGTCGGTCAATACCCCCACCCCTGTCAAAATCACTTTATAATTTTTAAACAGAAAAATATTTTGTATTCTGTGTCTGAAAAACATATTTAGATGATAAATAGAACCCAACAGTCACCGTATGTCTGAGCTGTTGGCAGAAATATAGAGGCATTTAGCCATACTTGAGCTCACTGTTTAAAGCTCAAACTCAAAATCATTTTCATCTTACACAATGGGTAGCTCAAACACAGAGATCGATTTTATTAATTGCACCATGGCTATTGATCATTTCCCGATGTTCGTTTTTAGCGGGGTAAAAGTCAGTCTGAAGGGACAGACAAATCCATTTTAAACAGATTGCTGCTATTACTATAGAAATACTTGTGTTTAACCCCTTAAGCGGGAATAAAAAATAGTTTTATTATTGGAACACAGTAGAGAAAAAGAGCTGAGGAGACAAGGAAAACGGTTAATCTTGGTTAAATCCAATCGAAATATCAGTGACTAATACTGCTCCTCAAAATAAATTAGCGTCATATACATCCTCTATTGAATCCAGCCATCTAGTTCCAGACAATACCATCACCCATTTCCTCTGCTGGGGAAATTGAAAAACTGAAGCACACAAAACTGTGTCAGAAAACGAGAGTGTGATTCACCACACAGATCCCGGGCAATGGAATCTTAAGAACACTTGTACAGTTGAGTACTGGATTCGCCGTGAGCCACCATTTTGTCAGAATCACGGCTGCAACCTTTTAAACTCAGGCAGAGCTGGAGAAGAAAGAACTAAGACAAGGTTTTTATCAAGAAATATGTTCAAACGGGAACTGCGGAATGACGAGTGTGTAAAACTTGAATGGCTTCTCTATTCACCATACCAAGGTTCTTTGTATTGTTTTGCTTGTCGCCTATTATATAAAAGAGTATTTCCCTTTGCTATATCAGGATTCAATTATTGGAACCATAACAATATTATTGTAGAACATGAAAATGGAGTAGTGCATTACAAGGATATGACTGCATATTTGCTTCGACTGAAAGAAGCTAGATGTTTAGGCCCTTTATTGATCAAAGACCATAGGTCAAAACAGAAGTTCTGGCATCAAGTTCTGACTCGTTGGGTTTATGTCGTTGGCTTTCTTGCCTCCAGAGGTTTGGGTCAAACTATGGGGTCAGTAAGCAATGGACATTGTTTAGGTATTTTAGAGCTGTTGAGTGAATGTAATCCTTTTTTTTGGAGAATCATCTCAAACTATAAATGAAAAAATGCTGGGAAGGGTAACATATCATATCTGTCGGCAAATATTTGAGAATAATTTAGTGACACTGCTCAGGAAAATGAAAAACGAGGCGTGAGGCAGAAAGACTAAGTAATCAAATGGACAACCTGATAATTTATCATCACCTGGGATGAATTATAATGTATTTCTGATGTTTCAAAACAAATGATAGAATTTGAGTGAGTTTGGTTTTGTGTAAATAAGTTGAATTAACCTATTTTTAACTTTATTGAATGTTTATTCTTATTTACAATTTTATTCCTGTTGGTGATTTGGGTTGGGAGCAACCCCCCCCCCCAACTGTTTGAGCATGTGGGGAGTGCCCCGTTTCGCCCCCCTTCTAATGACCCTGGTGTGTTGTGTTGCTGGGGGCCCCAGTACATTGATGTGCCCAGGGCCCCCTATGTTCTTAAGACNCCCCCCCCCCCCATGATTTGAGTTTGAGGCCCCTGGTCTATTTGTAAGGTAGTTGTATGCCTGAGTGCGTCTTTGACGGTGACTGTGTTATTAGTTTATTGCTAAGGTGTCAGTACCTATATTCGACCTAATTGTTAAGGGCTAATTGTTTCCCAACGGATTGTTTGTCCCCAACAGGTAACTAACATAACACACCACCAGAAAGTGGCTTTGAGGTATCTATAAATAGATTTCTAATTTCTTTTTAAGGGGTAATAAAAAAATTTCAAGATATAACTTTTTTTTAAGAAGACGGTAAAATGCTTTGTTGCAACAAAAAAAAAAACAAAAAAAAAAAACAAAAAAAAAAAAAAAAGAACAAAAAAAAACAACAAAACAACACAAAAGAATAAACTAAATAAATTTAAAAAAAACAACAACATTTTTTTACAGTATGGATGACCACGAGCTGTTAACTATTAAATTAAGGATATTTAATGATGTCAGTCTGTCTGTCACATGATGTTTAATGCAGCCTCTCTGTCTGTCACATGATGCTAAATTCAGTATGTCTGACTGTCACATGTTCTGCTCTGCTTTGAAATTGAGATGTGTCATGACCTTTGTTTTTTCTCCCGTTCCTTTTGTGACCAACAAAAATAATTGGACCACCCATTCTTTATTTGAATTCTTAAACTTTTCCATCCTTCTTCTATTTTCCCCCTTAACTTTATACGTGGATGCTCCCAATGTCCTGCTCATCATTCAAGACTGGCTCAACTAAAGTATTGTTCCATGTGTACCGTGCCACCATCTTTCTTTACCTAATGAGCGTCCACTGGCTGGTCGTGGGGTCGTAGTACTCAACTGTGTTCAGACACTCCTGGCCGTTAAAACCACCACAAATGTAGATTCTGCCTGAAGGAAAACGTACATTGTATCAAGCCAGGCTCAAGATTTTTTTTTTAAAGTTTAGTAGTACCAAATACCTGTAACATTGGACAGATTTTTTTTTTAAAGTTTAGTAGTATCATCACCTGGGATGAATTATAATGTATTTCTGATTTTTCAAAACAAATGATAGAATTTGAGTGAGTTTGGTTTTGTTTAAATAAGTTGAATTAACCTATTTTTAACTTTATTGAATGTTTATTCTTATTTACAATTTTATTCCTGTTGGTGATTTGGGTTGGGAGCAACCCCCCCCCCCCAACTGTTTGAGCATGTGGGGAGTGCCCCGTTTCGCCCCCCTTCTAATGACCCTGGTGTGTTGTGTTGCTGGGGGCCCCAGTACATTGATGTGCCCAGGGCCCCCTATGTTCTTAAGACGTCCCTGGACAAATCAAGTGTGTGTATTGGACCCGCCTACAGAAGACATCCCACCAATCGCATCTTAGTCCATGACAAAATTGTATTAGACCTAAACATTATATAATTACTTAGACATTGCTCTATATGTGTATGTTTGTCGTTAATTCTGTTTATTATAGTTTATAATTAAATATTTAATTGTGGGCTGAACCACCTGTGTTTCTTAGTATAGTGATAGTATTAATTGAAGTGAGAGCTAGTGAGTGTGTCATTGAACGTTAGATTAATAGAGTGAGTGTGGAGTGAGGTTCATTTAGAGTACTTAATTAGCAATATAATCCTACCCTAGACAGAGCCTTAGTGGACGTACTAATCTAACGTATCAGAAGGGACCTTTGTTTATACAAACATAAACATCGAATATTATTCGTCGTCGAGAGTTGTAAAATTTGGAGGGCAAATATTTAACATTTGAAGGCTCTATTATTCGTGTACCGTAAAAACCCGAACTTATTGTAACACGGACCACTTGCGGCCCGCAAGACGATATTTTGCGGCCCGCGCGTTTTCCCCATTCTCATATCTATAATGTGACCCTCCGCGACGGTATCAGTCGAACATCAACGACTGGTCTAATTCTGATTTTGTTTATGTTTGCATAGATTTGGACGTTGATGATAATGGTAAAAACCGTTTTAATATCGGACTAAAAGTTTTTAATTTGTAGCATTTTATGCAACAAACATGGCCAACGTGCAGTTTTGAGAAAACACGTTTCGAATATTATATATAAATATTTCAAAATTGTAAAAAGTTAGTTAGTGGTAATGTACAAACATACTTGTGTAAATCGTAGCAATCTGACACGGTATCAAAGAATCGCTATTAAAATTGTCGCTAATAATTACGAGTGAGGGAAATTCCGAACCTGTCGGCTTGGTCACTGCAAAACAAGCAGGAGGAGGAAGAACGTGAAGCCTAGTTCTTGAGAACCCTTAATGTTTTTATTTTTTATTACTAAAAGGTGAGCAGATTGTAATATTTTTACTTTATTGAATTTGTAATCGCTTTTTTGTGGAATACTTCATGCGTTCCAGTCTCAATCAGACTCTCCTCCCCCCCCCCCCCATGATTTGAGTTTGAGGCCCCTGGTCTATTTGTAAGGTAGTTGTATGCCTGAGTGCGTCTTTGACGGTGACTGTGTTATTAGTTTATTGCTAAGGTGTCAGTACCTATATTCGACCTAATTGTTAAGGGCTAATTGTTTCCCAACGGATTGTTTGTCCCCAACAGGTAACTAACATAACACACCACCAGAAAGTGGCTTTGAGGTATCTATAAATAGATTTCTAATTTCTTTTTAAGGGGTAATAAAAAAATTTCAAGATATAACTTTTTTTTATGCAGACGGTTAAATGCTTTGTTGCAACTACAAAAAAAACAACAACAAAAAACAACAAAAAAAAAAAAAAAAAAAAAAAAAAAAAAAAAAAAAAAAAAAAAAAAAAAAAAAAAAAAATTTAAAAAAAAAAACAAGAAAAAAAAAAAAACAACAAGAAAAAAAAAAGCGACATTTTTGTAACGCTCTTGAAATATATATTTTTGAAATAGTCAATCAGTCCTTTTTTTTATTTTTTAAGAAGAATCTTTGAATAGTTATTAAAGTTTATTACATCATTGTGTTTGGAGATTATTGTTTCTTCTCAACACTGAAGGCCTACACAAGTATTTTATTCAGGTCCGTGAAGTACAAAGAAAATTCTTTTTTTCTCATAACTGTAAAACATATCTATAACTGTAAAAAGTGCATATGCCATGTTTAAATGTATGTACCATTAACGGAGGTTGATCCCCACTTAAAATTCAACCAGCCTCTGCCTTCAACCAGTCTCTGCCTTCAACCAGTCTCTGCCTTCAACCAGCCTCTGCTTTCAACCAGTCTCTGCCTTCAACCAGCCTCTGCCTTCAACCAGCCTCTGCCTCAACCAGCCTCTGCCTTCAACCAGCCTCTGCCTTGCTTCTGAAAATCGATATAAATTTAATTCTTATACTTAAAGACTCATATCTTAACCAATATTCAGATCTGTATCATTTTTGTTTGTTTGTTTAAACAAGTACTGTTTGTGAAAGCTCCAAAAAAATGTCCATGCNAAAAGACAAAAAAAAAAAAAAAAGAAAAAAAGAAAAAGAAAAAAAGAGAGGCCTAGAACGAGAAGTAGTGTATATGTGTGTGTGAGAGGTCGCGTACGAGAAGTAATGAGTGAGAGAGAGAGAGAGAGAGAGAGAGAGAGAGAGAGAGAGAGAGAGAGAGAAAGAGATATATATATATAGAGAGAGAGACAAAGAGATAGAGAGAGAGAGATAAACGCTATAGTAGCCTAAATATGGTGTTGGGTGGCCGAGCGGTCCAAGCTGCGTCAATCCGAAGGTTATGGACTGGAGCTCAAGCTCCAGCAAAAGCGTAGACAAGCAAAAATAACCAAATCACATTGAGTGGTTGATGAAACATTATAACCTTGGATGGCAACTCATCTAAGAGAAAGCAAACTCTGAGAGATCAAAAACGGTATCACACGAACACAATTCCAATTCCGACAGCTCTTGTGGCGAGGAATGCACAAAGAGCACAGTGAGACACAAGATAAACTGCTGGTCATCTCCTGCAGCCTGGTCCTATTTACAGTCGTGTTGACTAAGTCTTGCCATTGGAACACACAGACAAGGACTAGAGAAGGCGGCTAAAAAATTGCGCTACCCTCCCTCAAAACTTAAAAACCAAATACAGCTAAAGTCAAGGGTACTACTCAATAAGTGGAAGCCTTGGTCATCTTCGCATGCGAAAGATGAAACAATAATAGCCCATATACCGGTTTATTAATCTCATCAAGGTAGATAGCATAGGTAGCATATCATATGAAACAATAGGAACACAGAAACCCTCTTTGAAATGAATGTTTCTTGAAATACTGATATCTTAAATTGAATAGCGAAATTAAGCGGCACAAATTTTGCATAAAACTAATCTCATTGTGGTCTTAAAAGGTCTAACAATGACTCAAAAATTTCAATCAACTCTTTTTTTTTTTTTTTTCAGATATAAAAATATACGTGCTATGCTATTAATGTTAGGCCCCACTCACACAGTTCATCGTTTCAGTTCATGAGTGTGTTGTTTTTTTACATGCTTTTGTTTGGCTTGCGTTTGTTTTCTTTTTTAAAACTAATCTCATTGTGGTCTTAAAAGGTCTAACAATGACTCAAAAATTTCAATCAACTCTTTTTTTTTTTTTCAGATATAAAAATATACGTGCTATGCTATTAATGTTAGGCCACACTCACACAGTTCATCGATTCAGTTCATGAGTGTGTTGTTTTTTTACACGCTTTTGTTTGGCTTGCGATTGTTTTCTTATTGTCAGGGTCAAATCTTGTAACTCAATTTTCGACCTGTTTGCTTCGTCCGATGGACTGGAAGTTTTGCGTGGTTACTCAATCTCGGTTACAATACAACACTTTGAGATCAACACGTAACCAGTGACCTCCACTGACCCTTGGGTGACCCCTGCGGGTCAAACCTTACACCTCAATTTTGACCCACTTTCTGGTCTCCGGTTGAGCTGAAACTTTGTACCGCTTAACCACCCCCCCCCCCCCATGTTAAGACAACCCTTCATGATCACTAGATTACTAGTGCACTTAGCTGACCCTTGAGTGACCCCTGCGGGTCAAATCTTGCTTCTGACTTTTGACGCACTGTCTGATCTCTAATTGAAATGAAACTTTGTACACTCTGACTAAAAAACACACAATGAAACAAGCTAAAACTACTTTTAAAAACATGCTTTTCCAAAAATGTTCTAAAAAGTATAAAATAAATGTCCCCAAAATGTTAAAGTTATTACAGTCATTTGTCTTTAAAAAAAAAAAAAAACGTTTGGCGCCCATGAAATACAATGATGTCGTGCGACTTTCTCATATGTTGCTCTGTCCATTTGTTAGTTTGTGTGTTGTCAAATCTTGCATCTCAATTTCGACCCACTTCCTGATCTCCGAATGAGCTGAAACAAAGAACATTGAGCTCATGGGTGCCCCACGTTTTGTTGATTAGTCACATAAGAGGAATAACTCTCAAGTTTTGGAGGACACCTATTTTATACTTTTTAGTACGTTTTTGGAAAAGCATGTTTTATTAAAGTATTTAAACAATTTTTTGTTTTATTTTCATTTGTGGTGCAAATAGGTGCCCCATGGTGTTTATGATGAATGAACTCTAATGCCTGGTCTATTTTGGCTGAGAACGTCGGTGGCTATAGTTCTCAAACAGCCCCAATCATGGTCATCCCATGTTATTCTCCGGAAAATATTAATTAATGTGGTTCTTTAATCCCTTTTGTTTTTAAGTTTTTCGTTTCTCTTACCGATAGTTGTATTTTACCGAGCCTAAAGCGGTTTCACTGACGTTTTAAAAAAAAAAAATCTCTAGTAAGTTTTTATTTTTGGATTGTGTTTACCCACCGCCCATTGTTGTTGCCCTTGCATCACTCCGCTGGTGGTTCATGGACTGTATGAAGCTCCACTGGTTGGTCTGCCTGTTGAAACGCTCCACTGAATGTAGCCGGAGCTGGCCGTCAAATCCTCCCATCGCATAGATCAGGCCGTCTAATTCAGCAACGCTTACATAACATCTGTTAAGTATTTGTTTGGAAAAAAAAAAGGTTTCATGCACAATTAAGCAAAAAGATCTTGAGAGTTGTGAAATAGAAGATCAAACCTCCAACCTTTCCCTCCACTTATTCATAGGACTACATCTCAGTAGTCCAAAATATCTCCTTTTATAACTGTCTTTACATCTCAGTAGTCCAAATCTCTCATTTATAAATGTCTCTACATCTCAGTAGTCCAAATCTCTCATTTATAGCTGTCTCTACATATCAGTAGTCCAAATTTCTCATTTATAACTGTCTCTACATCTTAGTAGTCCAAATCTCTCATTTATGACTGTCTCTACATCTCAATAGTCCAAATCTCTCATTTATGACTGTCTCTACATCTCAGTAGTCCAAATCTCTCATTTATAACTGTCTCTACATCTCAGTAGTCCAAATCTCTCATTTATAACTGTCTCTACATCCCAGTAGTCCAAATCTCTCATTTATAACTGTCTCTACATCCCAGTAGTCCAAATCTCTCATTTATAACTGTCTCTACATCCCAGTAGTCCAAATCTCTCATTTATAACTGTCTCTACATCCCAGTAGTCCAAATCTCTCATTTATAACTGTCTCTAGAAGAAGTGACGAGTGAATTGACCAACGCGTTTTTTCTTTCTTTCTGAAACTGAAAGACTAATGAAGTTTAAGTGAACATTCTTCTTAGCCTTTATCATTCCCAACGGTCATCCACAATACGTGTCCATATGTCCGAGTCCTGGGCAGTCTTTGCTAGTTCAGCCCAATGGAGCATAGTTCATCCACAATACGTGTCCATCTGTCCGAGTCCTGGGCAGTCTTTGCTAGTTCAGCCCAATGGAGCATAGGTCATCCACAATACGTGTCCATCTGTCCGAGTCCTGGGCAGTCTTTGCTAGTTCAGCCCAATGGAGCATAGGTCATCCACAATACGTGTCCATCTGTCCGAGTCCTGGGCAGTCTTTGCTAGTTCAGCCCAATGGAGCATAGGTCATCCACAATACGTGTCCATCTGTCCGAGTCCTGGGCAGTCTTTGCTAGTTCAGCCCAATGGAGCATAGGTCATCCACAATACGTGTCCATCTGTCCGAGTCCTGGGCAGTCTTTGCTAGTTCAGCCCAATGGAGCATAGGTCATCCACAATACGTGTCCATCTGTCCGAATCCTGGGCAGTCTTTGCTAGTTCAGCCCAATGGAGCATAGGTCATCCACAATACGTGTCCATCTGTCCGAGTCCTGGGCAGTCTTTGCTAGTTCAGCCCAGCTTTTCTTCATTCTCTTCACCTCTTCCTCTAATCCAGGTACGGTACCTTGATGATTCCAATTCAATACCCTTATTATTATGTTACTGTTTGATTTGCTTACTTAATGTATGCCCTATCCATCTGCATTTTCTCTGTTGTATATCCGTTTCCACTCGAACACTTGATGTTCTGTCTCAAAGGACAGTGTCAGAAATTTTGTCACACCATCTCATTTTGATTTTAATATTTGTTTTTGATGTTCTCCAAGTTTCACAGCCATACAGAAGAAGTGCCTTGACATTTGAGTTGAATATTCAAACCAATTTTCAATGTAAACATATATAAATGATTAAGTCGTTGATTACATTTTCCCAGTCCTTTTGACGCCTTTGCAAGTACTTCGTATGGGCACTAGGGTAATTTAAAAAAAAAAAAAAGACATATTTTTTTTGGTATTGAACAGTTGCTGTCATAATACACTGTTCTAAGACACTGTTATAAGACGCTGTTATAAGACCCTGTTATAAGACACTGTTATAAGACGCTGTTATAAGACACTGTTATCGGACACTGTTATAAGACACTGCTATGAGACACTGCTATGAGACACTATCAAAAGACACTGTACTAGTGATCAAGTTAAAGCTAAATGAATGAGAAGTCACCAACAAACGGGTTACAGCCTACACGATTATTTACACTTTAACCTTTTTGAGTTCATCGGTGCCATTTCAGACCAGACCTTGGTAACTGCGTTAAACACCCGACAGCTGTTGAAGTACTCCACACCATCGAAACCCCCGATGACAAAGATACAATGGTCAATGGTGACACATCCATGGTAAGCTCGGGCACCTGTTGTGAGCACAGAAACATCGGCTAGAGTGACAACGAATTCTTCAGCGATTAGTTTGATACTAAACCTAGATTCAGAATTCACATCCAGTCTTTCAGATACTCCTTCCTATCATAATGTATAAACCGGTATTCCTATAATCACAATAACGATCTAAGGCTTAATAATTTTCAAAATGCTGCGACACGGGGGGAAATAACCCATACGTCTCTTAGCCCCTCCAATCAGCATTTGTATATCTCTTTATAAAATCATCTCGCCTTTGTGAATTTTTGGGACCAGATAGCAATCAGGCGCCACATAACCTATTATTCTAAAAACAACTTCGTGAACCGAAATTAAACAATACGTCGTGATTCCTGGGCACTCTCCCGGCTAGACGAACGTGGAAAAAGTATTTTCTTTTTTTAATTTTTCCTTTTCTTTTTAAAAATAGATTTTGGAGCATAGCGAATATTGAATTCCGCCCCCCCCCCCTTTTTCCCCCATTATGAGACTCAAGCGGTCGCCCTTTTTAAAGAAATGCTGGCCGGCTCTGTCAGTTCTATGCTAGGGGCGGGGATGAATCGGCTGCCTTGAAACTTTCTTCAATGACCCACATAGTCTGTATCGTCAAAGGAGTTCACACAGTTAATCTGGGCACTCTCCCGGCTAGACGAACGTGGAAAAAGTATTTTCTTTTTTTAATTTTTCCTTTTCTTTTTAAAAATAGATTTTGGAGCATAGCGAATATTGAATTCCGCCCCCCCCCCTTTTTCCCCCATTATGAGACTCAAGCGGTCGCCCTTTTTAAAGAAATGCTGGCCGGCTCTTTCAGTTCTATGCTAGGGGCGGGGATGAATCGGCTGCCTTGAAACTTTCTTCAATGACCCACATAGTCTGTATCGTCAAAGGAGTTCACACAGTTAACTCGTCAAATATGATAATGAAGCCACACTTGCAATCATAATCCCTAACCTGTGCATGACATTACTACGTATGTTCGCTCTGTCATGCACTGAATAACTAACTGGAAAAAAAGTAGCTGGGAAGATATTTTCACCTACTTAGACTTAAACGTGGGGGAATGCACACGTGTCCAAAAAACGGAATGGGTTTCAAGACGGTCCCTTCCAGCTACCCCGTTTGAAATCTATGAATGAAATAAATGATACAAAAGCTTTGGTATCCCTGCTACCCTCAGAGGTTGTGGAGGAATGAAGACCTACCTGCCCCCCCCCCCCCCCGCCCCCCCCCCCCCCGGTCTTATCAACACCGTGATGCCGGGAGACTCACCATTTCCGCAAAGCCCCCACCCCACGGGTCTTACCAACGTCGTGATGCCGGGAGACCACCCATGAGTCCGCCTTAGTGTCGTACACTTCAACTAAGTTGGTAGGCGTGCCCCCGCTCCAGCCCCCGACCACAAACAGGAGCTCGTGAGGGACACGTGGACGGGACATTCGGTTGGAAGGGTCAGTTGTGCGCTGGTCATCCCAGTCAAGGTCACAGAGAAGACGTAATGCCTCAACCACTATAGACTTGGCGGCTTCACATTCCTTCACGTACTTGTGGGGTTTAACCTGAAAATGTCGAGTCATGACATACTTGTGGGGTTTAACCTGAATCGTTCGAGTCATCACATAGTTTTGGGGTTTAACCTGAACATGCCAAGTCATCATATACTTGTGGGGTTTAACCTGAAAATGTCAAGCCATCACATACTTGTGGGGCTTAACCTGAATCGTTCGAGTCATTACATACTTAAGTCATCACTTCGTTTTGGAGTTAAACGAAATTGAAAATTTCGAGTGTTTAAGGAATTCCAGTCCTGAATATTTCGAATGATCACAAGTAAAGATGTTAATGGGGTTCAATTGAAATGTTCCTTGATGATAGGCTTAAGTAAGTCGCGTGCCTTTGCCCTGCTGAGCCCAATATTTTGTCTTCTTACATTTACGGCTGAGCGGTGGCTGAGTTCTTGCAGAAGCATTCCATTAATGAGTTGTAGATGAATACATGTGTTTAAAAGCTGTTATTTTCTGTAATGTTTTATTTAACTTGACGTGAGCGTTTTGTGCGTGTGTCAAGTGTGTGTAATGTTTGACCCCTTTTGTTTGATCTGATACAACGGGGACTTCCACTTTTACAGTAAATTTTACTGCTAATTCTACATTTCAACATTTCAGAAAAGGGAGTCGATTTCCTGAGAAGCTTACCATTGGAACATTTTATGGTGGCCATCTTCTGAAACTGTGTGAGTGGTTTGTCCCATCCTCCTCATTTTTTGTTGTTGTTTTCCTAAGCTGTTAATTACTCTAGTGCACATTGACCCAGGTGTTAATCACTCTTGTGCACATTGACCCAGGTGTTAATCACTCTTGTGCACATTGACCCAGGTGTTAATCACTCTTGTGCACATTGACCCATGTGTTAATAACTCTTGTGCACATTGACCCATGTGTTAATCACTCTTGTGCACATTGACCCAGGTGTTAATCACTCTTGTGCACATTGACCCGGCTGTTAATCACTCTTGTGCACATTGACCCGGCTGTTAATCACTCTTGTGCACATTGACCCCGCTGTTAATCACTCTTGTGCACATTGACCCAGGTGTTAATCACTCTTGTGCACATTGACCCAGGTGTTAATCACTATTGTGCACATTGACCCAGGTGTTAATCACTCTTGTGTACATTGACCCAGGTGTTAATCACTCTTGTGCACATTGACCCAGGTGTTAATCACTCTTGTGCACATTGACCCAGGTGTTAATCACTCTTGTGCACATTGATCCGGCTGTTAATCACTCTTGTGCACATTGACCCCGCTGTTAATCACTCTTGTGCACATTGACCCCGCTGTTAATCACTCTTGTGCACATTGACCCAGGTGTTAATCACTCTTGTGCACATTGACCCGGCTGTTAATCACTCTTGTGCACATTGACCCAGGTGTTAATCACTCTTGTGCACATTGAACCGGCTGTTAATCCCTCTTGTGCACATTGGCCCACTTACCTTTTCTATAAAAGTTCTGGTGGTGATGATGCCTAGCCTGATACACATGAGCAGCCTAGCCATCTCCTGTTTCCTGGTGTCAGGACTGTGGTCAATCCAGCGAATAACTGCGTCAAACACCATCTCCTCGTTTCTTACATTTAGGTAGTCGGAGTCCAAAATTTCACACAGCTGGATGTGAAAGGACAGTGGTCAAGATTATAACACACAGCTGGATGTGAAAGGACAGTGGTCAAGATTATAACACACAGCTGGATGTGAAAGGACAGTGGTCAAGATTATAACACACAGNCAAAAAAAACAAACAAAAAAAACAACAAAGAAACAACAAAAAACAACAACAAAGGAACAATGAAAATCGTAAATTGGTCGCCAAAATCATGACAGTAAACTGGTCTGCAGTAGGACTACTACATAGTTAATATAGCAACCAGTGATGCATGCACACGTGTTTGATTTCGTAAATAATAATGTTTATAATACGGATGAGTTTTAATAAAGGATTAAATTGAAATTCCTAAATTTCCCCCAAGTTTTTTTTTTTTAAATGAAACAAACATTATAATGGAAATACCACAATTTCCTAGGATTATTCCAGATTATTCACCTTCGCCTATGACAATATTTATGACTAGGATAATGATAATCAAAATGAATGTTTCAAATGAATGAAGTGAATAAACCTTGGGTTCCCCAATTTTATGTTCAGATAATTAAAACAATACTACTAATATAAATATTACCATTCCAGTAGTTGTTTTCCAAGTAAATTATTTACTTTTGCTTCGGCTTACTTAAAGTTTACTTCTTTTATGGTAATAAAGGACAAGAAGGTCATCATTCATAAGCGACAGTTTTTGAAGATAATTATTCATATTACATACGATTACAGCAAGATGTCGCGAATATCTATCAGAAATTTTGAATTGGCGGCCTAGAGACAAAAAGTCTGACTTCTGGTAGATGACAGAAAAACTCAATCACTTTCAACCAAAATAAAAAATTAAGTGAAAGTCAACTTTTCTGTTTCGGCCTGAACCGAAATTACACCAAAACGCATAAAATGGCAACTTCCGGCACCGAAACTTATCCGAAGTCGAAATTCGGTCGGTCTCTATTGCACGCATACACATACGGACAAAGTATTAGCCCTAACCCAACATGTTTTCTATAGACCGAGTAAAGGCATATTTACTTACAAATTGTAAGTACCCGGTAATAATTAAGTTGAATTATTAGCAGAATACTTTTTGGAGCAGGCTTTTTTGGACAAACTCCACTCGGACAATGTTTCGTCAGCTCCACCTCCCCTCTGGCAAGATTAAAATGGGTTCCAGTAGGTTTTGGGTCTAAAATTATCAATCAAAACAATTCTCAATGAGCTTTATATTTATATATATATATATATATATATATATATATGCGTATAGAGGGAGGAACTTTTGACCTGTAATCAACATTGTAATAAGCTTTTGTGGAAAGGTGGCACGCTTTAGAATAGAAGTTAATGATATTTTAAAAGAAATATCATGAAAACAAATCAACCACCTCAGGTTAGTAGAGTTTATAAAATAAAAACTATAGTGAATGCAGATGAACAAGAATCTTAGTAGATTTAAGCGTAAATTGGATGGATGAGGTAATACATGAGTCGTTAATGCATTTATGGATGCTTGGATGGATGTTTTAGTTTGATGCATTGATGATTGGTGGCTGGGGCGTAGGAAAGGGGTGCAGAGGGGGGAGGCTGACCTTTTTTCTTATATGCAGGGATGACATTTTCCACCAAATGTTGATTTGTTTCGTGGAAGAGGGCGGAAAAAAGCCACTGGATGGCTGATAGATTGGTGGATATGTAGATTTTAATGGATTTATACACAATGAATACCGTTTTTATTCTTATATAGGGATGCAGAAGAGAGGGGTGAAAAAGTAGAAAGAGATAGAGAGAGAGAGAGAGAGAGAGAGAGAGAGAGAGAGAGAGAGAGAGAGAGAGAGAGAGAGAGAGCGCGAGAGAGAGCAAGAGAGAGCGAGAGATATATATATTACATGAGACACAGATGTGAGATTTTTATTCTTATATAGGGATGCAGAAGAGAGGGGTGAAAAAGTAGAAAGAGATAGAGAGAGAGAGAGAGAGAGAGAGAGAGAGAGAGAGAGAGTGAGAGAGAGAGAGAGAGAGAGAGCGCGTGAGAAAGCAAGAGAGAGCAAGAGATATATTTATTACATGAGACACAGATGTGAGACCTGATCAATGGGCATTTCGAGGAACTCCTGACTTGTAGTCGACACTTCTTGGAACTTCCTGAGGAGAAAATTGTGGGCCTCCTTCTCCAGCTCCCTACACGAGTAGGTCTGGGCAAAGTTTCGGATACCAATGCAGTTCTCAGGGTTGATGCTCTTCTTGAGGAAGTCACAGCAGGGCTTGACGAGGCCAGACACCAGGAACCGGTCGGCCGCAGGCAGCAGCTCCTCGATGTTGGCCCAGCTTAGCTGATGGAAAGGGTGTGGGGGGGGGGGATAGGCCAACAGTTTATGGGCAGTGTAGATTAAAGGGGGGATACGAGTCAGGATCTAAACCAGTGGTTCCCAACCGGGGCTCCCCGAGGTCTTCTCAGGGGATCCGCAGCCGCTCCGGGCAATTCTTAAACACTAAACACTAGTAACAAAAATAGGGTACCAGTAGGCATAACATGTTTCCTCTGTTTAAATTAATTCTAAAAAAGTGCGATTCATAAACGCTTGGAACCACTGTTTGCTGCTATAGTTGACGAAAAACGAGCACACGTGTAACTGGGTGCATTACTTTGACAGACCATGCAGGCAAGGCTAGTATGAAGATGCTCTAATAAACCTTCAGGTTAAGGTCTATCAGCTATCGATTGATTTTGATGTTGAAATCACAAGAGCAAAGAGGGTTTTAGGTAAGTCAAATATTGCATGTACAAAAAAAAAAAAAAAAATCACCTGAGAACAAATCATGCCTGGCCTTTTATGACGATGCCAAATAATAACAAGTGACAAGATGCCCCCCCCCCCTCTCCCACGCGCAAAAAACAACAACTTTGTTTAGAACTTGCCTAAAATCTTAAGAAATCGCTCCATCGGGTTTGATGGTAACAGGACATGAGCCCGGATATACCCATCATCTCAATTGACATTAAATTAACAGAGCTATAATAAAGTCCCAAAAGTAGAGCATAATTAAAACTTTCTTCAAATGCATTACGCAAAGATTTTAAAGACGTATAGATTAGCACTCTTTGTATGGCTAACGAATGTAGGAGAAACTTAAATATGTTTTATATTATTAATTCAAAGTAAAGTCGAGTAGTTCTCACATTTTTGTTGCACGGACCACCCTGGCCGGCAGAAGATATTTATTGGAAAAAAAAAACAACTCATAAACTATAACGTTTATAAAATTTTACATAAATGAAGATTGTAAGGTCAAGGATGCATACTTGAAATCACCCAACCACACATCACCCGCCCTGCCCAACTATGCAACCCCAGAACTATGTCCACGTAGCATCCAAGGGTTCTCACAGATTCTCAGACCAAAAAACAACACCCCACAACTCGTGATTTGTATAGACCCAACAATGAACAATCGAGAACGCTGTAAAGCCTGTCCCACTACAAACCTTAACATGTCGGGTGTATGCGTAATCAATGATGGCCGCCATGCTGTCCGGATTGATGCCGGAGATGCGTATTTCTTGGGTGTTCTGATCAAACCGGGAATTGGTGAACAGGGCTCGAAAGTAAGGGCTGCATGCAGAGAGGATGTTTCGATGGATGGGGAATGACCAGTCGTCAACCTGGAGGGGTAAAAAAACAGAGCAGTTGCTATCAGTTGGATTAGTCAGGCTAACAGAAAGACCAGTCGTTTAGCTTGGGGGTCAAAAACCAACGTTCCCTTTAAGCTGCGTGGCTGCGCAGCTATCTCACAGATGCCGCGCAGCAGTTTTGAGTATCCGCGCAACAAATTTCCATGAAAGTGTGTGTTTGTTTTTTTTGGGCTTTAAAACTTTGCTCACAACTGTATGATTTTGCGTGTATGGATCATCTATAAAGTTGAATTAGCGCAGTACCAGACCTTCCATCCTCCCACCCCTTCTACCCCACTTCCCTTTTTTTCCTACATACTTTTTACCCACAAAACGGAAACTTAAAACATAGCTATATTTGTAACATGCACAGATAAAACGAGGGTAAATTTTATGACCAATGGAAACATTAGAAATATTATCATCATACTCTCCAACCAATGCGTTGATTTCAGTTTTGTGTGCATCAAGTGATGAGTTTTTTCTCACTTGTAAACGGGGTTTACCATAATTAGCGGATGACTTCTGGACGTCCCAGAGAAAGACTTTTTAAAATAATAAATAATTTAGGCCTATCAATTGAGATTAAATCAACCCCTTGATTTTTAGTTTTCTAACTATCCTTGTTGTTAAATTTGTTAGAAATAGTCCAATTTTATTTTAAATTTAACCAAAAGTCATTATTAAAAAAAAAAATAAAAAAAAAGCAACAAAAAAAAAAAAAAAAAAAAAAAT